AATACGATAATGATATTTGTAGCAAGAAGCATCTCAAGTGAGACAGTACCAATAACATGGGTTGGAGAATGAAACACAACACTGTTCCACAGGTTTCCTCAACCAGAATCGCACTGGCTTTTCTACACTTTGATACCATACTCATAAGAGGACAAACCACATTTTTCCCCATTTCTGTCCACATATCTTCTCTGCAACAAAGTACCAGATACAGTTATAGACCCGAGATGTGACTCTGTCTTCGTGAAAGCACTGTGGTTCCACTGGGGAGGAAGCTGCATCTCGAGCACCTGGAGGAACAGGTCCCACCAGAAGGTTCAATAGATGCATAAACATTTGCAGAACCTAATCATATCTGCTGTAATACACGCAACAAGTCGGCATAATGGATAACAGAAGGGAAAACTGTACACGGATAAAAAGGACTAGCTGCATACTTCAGGCATTACCGGACAAATAAAAACAGCTGGCTTCTGCTAGCTTCCCAGTTACAACTAGCTAACAGCTCCCCTCAGGTATCCCAGAACAAAAGGAGCTCAGGAAGATATTTACAGCTACATTTCATAAAAGATACCAAGAGTGAGGGGATGTCAAAAAGACAATCCAAAGAGCTGTGTGGAAAGGCTGGGTTATTGGTGCTAACACCACTGGTTAAAGCAGATGCCCGGATAACAGGGGCTAGAAACAGCCGCTGCACGGCAACGCAGCTATCGTGTCATGTACTGGGGAATAACCCACCGCTGAGCGCCCGGGGAAGGGCGGGCACGCTGTAGATCACTTAAGCGCCATGCTCCAGTAAATCTGCAACTGCCCCTGTGCAAAAAGCCAATAGAAAGGGATTATAAAATGGTTATAACAACTAATAGTGAAGGTATATTATACACGTAAGCAAGACTCTTGCGATAATATACTTGCACACTGTTTATGGACCTTACTGCATCAAGCTGTGAAACATAATACATACAAATATCTATGAAAGTTATTTTTAATCTATAAATAGATAAAAGACAGACAGCACAAATACAAGAAGGAGCTATAACCATACAGAAATGTAATTGTATAATGCAAAAACTTTAGAATAACTCACTGAGGGTTGGGGGGTTGTGTGTGTGGTTTATTTTGTTGGGTTTTGGGTTTTTTTGTGGTTTGTTTGTTTTGTTTTTTTTTAAAATAACAAATTGACACAAAGGAGAAGTAAAATTTAAAATACACCTTGCAACATCTGCTGACCTTCCAAGCTACAGTACTCTGAGCAATCCCAGGTCAATACACATATTCAGAATTACGTCAGCCTTCGTTATTTGCATTCTTCTTGTATTACACTATATTGACACCTGAAGCTTATGTCAAACTTCTTTTGCAGAATTGTTCTAAGTCATTGTCACAGGTCCCTGTCCAAACCTCATTCTCGGTACTGAGAGCAACACCCCTGATTCCCCATCATAGGCACAAGCATCTTAAACGAGTGTATGGGACTCTCCTGGGCTAGATACTGCGTCCATATACGTAAGAGTAAATGGTGCCTTTTCTCTCAAGAGACCACCTCAGATTCCGAGAGAAGACTACCAAGAAGCCATGAACAGTCAAATTAAGCAGCATTGCTGTCCAAGCAAGGACATACTGAGTAAACCAAGCCACCCTCCAGGAAGACTGGTGCTTTTAAAGATCTTTAAAACTTCACTGTCAAAGACTTGCTGTGACTAAAACCTTCAATTTGTTTCAGGGGCAAAATTTTTTGGTGCTGTTAGTGTTCACCCTATAACGCTACGTCCTCATTTAGATTGGACTTTATCAAGGCTTCAGCGGAGCCCTGTAATTGTTAAATATATACAAATTAAAGTTACGTGAAGATACAACAAAATACAAACAAGGAAAGTTATACAGCTGCCAAAAATACCAGAAAGACTTTTCCCACAGGGTATTAGCTCACAGTAAGTATCATTTGAGTAAGAGGTCAAATTTGACAGATTGTGGAAAAAGCCAATTGACACTATGTGATTTAAGAATTTATCTTCCTCCACTAAGGTCTTTTAACATCAACAAATAAAGAAGTACATCTATAATTTTCAGTTAATTATGTTCTATGAACAAAACTGGTTTCAGCAATAGCCTTTTGATATAAAAAAGCAAATATTGCAGTTTTTATTAAAACCACTTAAATTTTATTTTCAAAATTACCTTTCAATTAGTCCTTACAATTTAATCAGGATCAAGCCAAAATGGGAAAAGTAGAGTGATATTTAAAAGAAAATTTGTTCCTCCATGATGACAGTCCTTAGTATGAACATAAGACAAGAACTCGACAGAAAAAAAAAGTATTAATGCATTAAATTGAGTGAGAAGCTTAAGAGTGACTGGTATGCAATAGGGCAGAAAATATCATTCACTAACAACTTCCACACTCAAGTTATTAAGCTTTATTCCTTCCCTGCCCTGCTTAAAACAAAAAAAAAAAACCCACCCCAACTAACATGGGACTTGCTAAAGCTTCTCAAGTCTCATAAAATATTGGCCTGTAGTCAATACATCCTCTGACACTAAAGCCCAATGAATTCCCCAGGGATCTGAAGTCACTAATGATGGAAAACTTTATCTGGACATCTGAACATAAACACTTGTGTATTTCCCACAATTTGAAAGTACAATATGTTAGGGAGAAGAAAAAAAAAAAAAAAAAAAAAAAAAAAAAAAACCAAAAACCATGTTTCAACTTCCAAACGGGAGAGTTTGACAGGAAAGCTATTTCTTTACACTTCTTAGCTCTTCAGAGCAAAGTAAAACCTTGAATGCAAGGACAACAGGAGGGTCTGTGGCAAGGGCACTACAGAACAAACCACGTCACCTCAGAGTGCGCTCCTAGCTGCCTACTGGGGACTTTGCAGAGTCAGTAACATTGCTAACCACAATGCTTTCCAAGGATATTGTGAAGACTGAAAGAAAATAGCCAAAGCAAGGCTGTTTCATTCCATGTAACACCATCTCAGATTGCTCTAGCTCCTGGCTTCTACTCCAAATATGTCACACATCTTTTCATCTCTAAACCTAATGGCTTCATTTCAAAAAAAGACGTTAACAGGCAGCTGATGTGAAAGTGCATGCAAGACGAAAAGTACCCACTGTGCCACTGAAACAACCCTCCTACTCTGTGACAAGTTTAAGTGCCGGGCACAGGTCACCAAACAAGGCCACTACTAAGAACAGCAGAGTGTCCCTGACTCTTTCAAACTATTCTATACCAAAAAATAACTAAAATAATAAAACTGATATGTAGAAATGAAAAGGGACAGAGAGAAGAAACTAAATTACATCAAGTAATGGGCTGAAACAAAAACTTACCCTGAAAATCTAAACTTCAGCGGGGGGGTTGAAAATTAGAACCAGATCTTGCATTTGGCTTTCCTGCCTATAACAAACCAAGCCAAAAGCCCATATCCAAACACACCTCTGCTCTAGGAGTTTGAAATCTGGACTCAAGTTTTGCAGCCTGGCTTCCTCTGTACTCACCGCTGAATGCATCAGCGCTGCCAGAGAACAACAGCACCTGACAAAGGAACGCACTTTCATAGAGGAACAATTAAAATACATATACATGCACAGCAATATGCCTCATTGCCCACAGTAAGCTTGAATGCAAACAAGAAAGCAACCACACGTGGAAGCCCAGAACCTGGTGTGCTCCAATTCCTCGATGGCTGCACTCTGGACAAAAATTTTTACATGAAAATTGTTTTTACAAAACCTCAATCCAGGAAGCATATGAAATCTTGTCTTGCTGAACTGGTCTGCTTTGCCAAATATATTCCCAGACCTAACAAGAACGAGATTCTCCAAGCTGTTCTTAATTTCATTCACATTTATTAAATCAGCCTGGACTTTGCAGCATCTCTGTTTCTCCTCCAATACTTAACACGTAGGCTTGCTCGACTGTACTTCCTTAGGCCAACGGTAGTAGAGGAGAATCTGTTCCTGCGTGAGGCAGCCTAGAGATTGCTCTCAATAGGAGGTATTCGAGGAATTCTGTAGGTTGCTTATGCTCAGTTCAAATTCCCAGAAAGGCCGATTCATAACACGTCCTGGGGGCAGGGGAAAGAAGTTTAGTTGTATTTAAAGCCAGAATCCTCCGACAGCAGTAGCACTGTGGAAATAATACAAAACCTAGGCTTTCTCCTCCTCCTTTTAAGGAAAGTGCTTTAAGTTCCAATGCTTCAGTTTTGTTCTCTTGAAACAAGACCAACTACAAGCTAAACATGTTAAGATGTTGAATCTACTATGGAGAAGTTAAAAACAAAACAGGCAACTGTGGCACATATATATAGGATTTTTATTTTTTTTTTAAACCAGCCACCCATAACATCTATCATAATATCACCAGAACACGAGCATCAGCTTTGCCACTAACACTCAGTGAAACACACTGCTCTGCAGAATGCTGGAGAGCATATTAACACCATCACAGCACATCAGCCTCCTTTTACGCAACCTTAAAGCTCTTATGACACGCACGTTATGACTTTCATTAGACTTTTCCTTGCGACAGCATTGTTTTAACCAGGGATTTTAAGACACTGACACTGTGATAATGACAAATATATGGCCAAGATCTGCAAAATGTGAAGTAATATACATTACATGCTATTAAAATGCAGTAGTTAGCTGTCAGCCAACAATTCTTCAGATCCTCTTCCCAATTCAGAACAGTCTTCTTCAGGCACACACAAAGGCTGTGTCAAGACATAATCCAAGATTCTCCAAAGCACCCCCCAACCACCACACTTTACTGTCAAACCCTATACTTGCCTGAGCTGTTTAACATACTTGAAGGGTAATGTAACCAATATAACCTACTTTTAGCACGCAACAAACACAACAAATAAATCAATTCATTGGCCATTAGCCTTAATTTGGAACACAGCAAGCCTGATTCATACTCCCCAGATTTGCTTCTCAGAGACAGACTCTGTTTATTTTCTGCTCTTTCAGGCACGTGGAACTTCACTTACCAATGCAGGCATGGACTCTCACCGACAGCTGGGTCCTCAGAATTATACTGTGCTTCTTGCCCCTCCTAAAAGGGAAGAGAAGAAAAAAAATATATAAAGATATAGGGAGGAGGTACAGGACCTAGGAATGAAGGAGTGAAGTTGAGCCTAAGAAAAAAGAGGGGGCGGGGGAAGAGAAGGTATTACGAGTTACATCTTTGTTTCTCATCCTCCAACTCTATTTTAATTGGCAATAAATTAATTTTCTGCAAGTCAAGCCTATTTTGCCTAGGACAGTAATTGGTAAGTGATGTCCCCATCTTTATCTCAGTCAATGAGTTTTTTCATCTTATTTTCCCCCTCCCTTCTGTTGAGGACAGGGAGCAAGAGAGCGGCTGGGTAGGCAGCTGGCCAAGGTCAACCCACCACAATGACTCTCTAGAAATCCATATTAGAAAAGTACCAAGTGATGACTGCACATTTTAATTTTTACAGAAATGTTGTAAAGCTAGGCATAGTAAAGTATGAAAAGAAAACAGAAGGTCAAACAAGAGGTTGCTTACACTTTCATAAATCTGCTCATGTACCCCAACAGCTATTGAAAGCACAAAGATCTGGTTTTCATGCAGTGAGGCAAAACTGAGTCCTCCTCCACTCTAGCACTGCCTCAGTTTCATCCTAGTCTTAAATAGAATAACTTTATCTTAATTAGATGCTACATTTCTCATTTGTTTTTCAGATAAATTAATATTAAATGCATCTTTTCAATCTGGACAAGAGCACCATTTTTAATTTCAAGACACTCCACCTGTAAACTGGTAGCAGGACACAGCCAGCACCTTGCCTCTATACCCAAACCTACTTGATGGAAGGCAGGAAAGTAAGAAAAGCAAAATGCCCATTTGTACAGCAGCATATTCTCTTTCTTTTCTCTGAAGCTAAAGATGCAATTCCTGGACAAGCAGCTCTAGGCAGCGCTGCTTGAACAGGGTGGTTGGACCAGATGACCTCCATAGGTCCACTCCAACCTCAACCCTTCTGTGATTCTGTGAATTTATTGAGGGAAAACATGCAAGCAGCAAGTTTTTAGAACACATTCAGATGCAGCTTAGTTTGTGTCATGTGAACCGTAGACTCACTTTCTATATACAAATCAAAAGCAAATTAAAAACCATCACAAGCTTCCTCAGTTATATGCGTTACAATTCTGCTGAGAGATTTCAGGGCCAACCGTTTCACATAGACACTCAGCAGAATTTCCCACTGGCTGTAACTTCACGAGAGCAAACCCACTATTTTCCAGAAAACAACAAGTGTTCTTCCTCACTTTCCTGTATTCCTGCCCATAGCTGTTTTGAGGAACGAAAATAGTTTTCATTAATTTCAACAACAAAAAACCAAGAATGTTTTATGCTATCTCCCAAAAAATTTGCAGAGAAAGGCAGGTCAGGGAAGCAATGATATTTCTCAGAAATATTTCTCAGAAAAGCATCACTCCCAGAAGAATACACAGAAAATAAAAAACACATTAAGCACCTGAAAAAATTAGTTAATGTGGAACTATGTACCTGGTAATAAAGGACTCAGTTCCTGTTTCTGAAAGGTAACCTTTCTCTAGATGTTAAAAAAAAAATTAAACTTGAAATAAAATTGCTCTTTGAAGGGTCTACTTGAACAACATTAGAATAAACCAGGAAAAGCGTGAACCTTCTCTTAATGCTGCTGCTTGCAGGTCTTTTGAAGTGCCAAGCAGCAACATCCTATTCCCCCACAAGAGCTGCCTACAGTCTGGATTTTAAAGTTTCCTGGAGCAATTCCAGGTTTAGGACTGACTCTCTGCCCACCTAAACTCCTGCCGATTCAGCTGGACACAGACTTTGCCTGCACCGACGTCCTGCAGATTGCTAACAGCTGCCCCTTCCCCACAGGAGTGCCAGGACTCCTCCAGAATATTTAATTTGCAAAGGACCTAACACGAGCAGCTCTTGTTGATATATCTCCTCTTTGCAGGAGTGCAGTGTATGCAGACTTGACCAGCTCTCTGCTGATATCTGCAGGTCTGTGGTGATCTGCTGGAAGAACTGGACAGCAAGTACTGCTCAGTCATCAGAAAGAGTGAAGGAACACAGCAACCTAAGAAATCAGCACTGTTATAATCCTTGTTGAGATTCAGGCTCATTATAATTTAATACAGTTTTTCCCTCTTTTCCAAAAATCTATTGCATGATGTTCCTCAGTACAAGCAGTATCTTTTCTTTTGGTAGTTCTCCAAGCTTCAACAGTGGTGCCACTTCCCCCTCAACCTCACCTCCCGACAGAGTCCTAAAAATTTAGAGCAAGCTCTCTTCTACAAGTTCTGTTCTACAATATCATCCCACCTATGTACCTCATAACACTGAAAATTCTCACACACACAAACGTTAATTTTTATTATCTTCTCCCATTGATCACATTGCCAAATTTTCCAGTCTACCAAAAACAATAGGATTCAAACCCCAGAAATTACAAAGATGAAAACTCGCTACAGAAGCATTTAATGGCCCTTAGACATATTAGATTTCCCACACAGATGATTGTTCCAGTAAGATTAGTAACATGTAAAACACCAAAAATTATGCAATTCCCTGCTGAATGCTTTCGACTATCACACAGCATGAATAATGTTTTCGCAAAAGGAAGATCACCTCTGAAAACTGTTACATCCATGATTCCACGCACATGAATTTAGTGGCGAGCATCTTACAATAATAAATGCCAAAAAAAAAGGGGTAACTTTAAATCCATCCATGATTTCATAGCTTCGTGAATGACTGGCCAAATAGCATTAAAAAGAATCTGGCGAGGGAAGGAGGTGCCATAGGACAGACAGGGCATTTGCACTAAAACCAAAAAAAGATTAAAAAATAAACTGAGGAAAATTATTTCAAACAAACAGGCTTCACTTATTAAAAACAAAACCTATGCATGTAACTAAGCCTGTATTCTACTCTTAACTAAACTTGTAGGTTTCTTGGTATGACTTTTAAAAAAAGAAATATGTGCAACTGGCTAGTATTTATAAAAAAATGCCAGTAAGTATTTAATAGAATTAATTTAATAGCTGCAATTTAACAGCAGTAGAGTGGGTAAATTTCACACTTTGTGCTAACATCAGATTCCGTTGATACCTATGTCGATAACGGAATCATTATTGCTACTCAATTAACTTCTAGTTTTGGAGTTACTAAGATCCAGAATGTTTTTTATATTCAACTTCTCTAACAAGTCAGTGTAAATAAACACACACCAACAGCTCACCGAGTGCTTGTCATCTGGAATATAAATGCTTTACTTTGCCATTGTTTCTGTACTATATTACAAATAGTTTCACTCAATTATACACTTCCAAAACTTAGTTTATATCACACTTTGAAAATAGTACCTAGACTGGCTGCCTTAAACATTTATTTGTTCCAAAGCAAAGCCTAGGTTTGCACTTAGCAATTCCTTGAGGAGAAGAGAAATACTGAGACTGTTGCATTAGGGAGAAAAAACAAAAAAAAAAGAAAGAAAAACAAAGAAAAAACCCCACCCACCTACAAAAACGCCACATCACAAAACCCCTCCACAGTTTTCCTCTTAATGTTTCAAGGAAACTTTGAAAGGAATTTTTCAGGGAGCCTGTTTTATTAGGACACAGGCATCCCTCCTCCTCAGATCTATACTGAAGAGTTGCTGGTATCAAAAATGGGATTTTTATTTAAATACCCAGTTACAATTCACTGTCATTATCAGCAAGGAAGACCGCTGTTAAAGTTCATCTTTGCATGACCGTAGAATGCATCAATTAGTATATATTTTGTATTTCAATGTTTTCTTTCTTTCAGGACAGGCAACCATTCAGACCACCTAATATTTTACTACAGGCTTAAGTATTTCAATTTAATATGTGCAATTTCTTTTACAACAATCTCATGCTTCCAAAACCACATTTTTCATCATTTACAACTTAAGTAAAAAATTACTTTTCAAGCTTTCTTAATGATGACTTAATATCTCATTAAGAGGAGATAATTAGAAGGTTAGGTACCACCCATTCTACAAGAACAGGTCATGCTACACCCTTCTGGGCTCCTTCTGTTTTGCTTTCTACACGATACTTTCTACAACCATGGAAAAAGCCACAGTTCTATAGCACAGCAACATATCAACTCCAAGGATTGTAATAACGCTAGCAACATAGTCAGCTATCAAGCAAACTTACTATTCTTCATTCTACTCCATCAAAAAAAAAAATAGAAAAAAAATCTGTAGCACAGACACCTGAATCATAAAAAAAGTAATTGCAAGCAGAAGCAAAGTCTGGTGCTGTTCAAAGCCACAATTTTAGTTCACAACCAACTTGGAGCCTTTCAATTAACATAGATAAGACAGTCTAAGCTCTACTCATTACTAGGGTCTGTGCATTCTTTCATTTTTTTAAATTTTTAAAGAATATAAGAGAAGTTAGCCCCATAATGGCAAACTTGGATCTGAATCTTCCATGAAATGCTACACACATTCACACGGTTACACGGTAAATAAGTGACATCCCCCATCTCTATGATCTATAATTTGGATTATACCACTAAGCCAACCACACCGGTGTCTGGACTTTCTTTAAGAGTGATGGATCTTGTTGGAAGGATTTTGTTTTGATTAAAATAATAATAAACAATCATACCCTACCCTTACAGCCATTTTAAACTAGAATATTCCCACAACCTTCATTTTACTCTGTTTCAAGGAAGGATTTCAGCCTTTAAGATTAGTGTTATCAGTCAGTTCTAGACAGGGATAATTCTTTAGGATAACGCAGAGACCAAAAATCATTCACTCTATAGAAACCCTTGCTGTGCTAGAAAGGACAATTACACAAAGCCTGTGAAAAATGGAGTGGTTTGTATGCAAGCGTATGTGTTTTGGTTTTTAAACTAGGTGGTAGCATTTCCTTCAGATCCTAGCTGAGCTTCTGGCAAGGCAACCTAGATGTGATGGAAAACAAATTCTAAAAGTTTAAATTTAACTGGCAACAGCAGCAAAGGGATTCTAAGTTTGGAGGTCCAGA